AAGAAAATTGCAAAACAAAAAAAAGGATAAATACAGCAAGAGGGCGGGTGGTAACCCGTAGACCAGGGATTGAGCCCTGGTTGAGTCCGTAACAGGAATAGTCTTAATACCCTTGTCATGCATTGTGAGACCACTGCTGCATTGTGGATGGACATTTCAGCACACTTCCCACTCAACCTTATACAACATGGGGAGGAGCCATACACGCTCATGAAAGGCATTCATGGCAATCAACCTTTCCTAAGGTTTATACGCATGTGCAACCATGTGCAATCATATGCAAGCACAAGGCGTACAGACATACATGCTCATGAAACATATGCGAATGCACAGACCTGGGAGCCAAAAGGACAAAAACTTGAAATGAGAAATCAAAAGTACCCTGATACACTAGTATCCTTCAGTATGTCAGTGGCCGTCCTCACCCCAGTACAACGTATGATCAGGATTGCTGTATCTAGATTCAAAGTTGCCCTAAATACAGCTGTAATAACTGTACGTCATATTCGGATGAAGATGGTAGTTTCTTCTGGTGCGGTAGGGAGCGCTGTCGCCATTGGCTCTCAGCCTCTAAGGGAGTGAGCACGTTAATGGGGGTGGTTCAACCCTGAACTCGCTGTGTCAGAGGAAGCAGATCCATTGCACCCGCTTTGGGGTTCAGTGAGGTGCGTTATTGGACCTGGTCTCTGGACGTGGGTGTGGTTGGGGACCTTAAACCACTCTCAACAACCGCGCTCTGGTATGAACCATGCTTCTCAATTGAAACGCCATTAAGAGAACTCTTCTTCACAGCAGGTCTACAGGATGTGCCTGTAAGAGATGGTCACAAGGTCTCTTCTTCACAGAGAGAAAGAAGGAGAGGATTCTGGCTGAGAGCAGGGGGAATGCGGGGGGAGAGAGAGAGATGTTATGATTCTGGTTCTGTTGTCTGAAGACCACCACTCACTCCTATGGACTCCCAGGTATGCCCATACAAACACAGAAGGAAGGGGAGAGGATAGGAGTATCACACCGCACAGGAAGAGATAAACACAGCGGAAGACTTGACCATGCAATATTACAGGGTACACCGAAAGTGCAATTCACTCAACTCAATCCTCACAACCAGTCATAAAGAAAAGCCGAGTAGATCACATCCAGAAAACAATGAAACGATGATAGTCCAAACTCAGTATCACACTGTTTATTAAACTCAGAGTCTTGAATTGTCAGGATAACCTCAGAACTACAGTGCGCTGCTCAGAAGTGAGCAGCGCTTCACTTCCCAACCCTGAGTAACCACTCGTTACACCCCTGAGCCCCTGAAACATGAAGCGCCACCCAAGTACTGCCTCCAGAGGACAGCGCCACCCTGAAACAGGCCTCTGAGGCCAAGCGCCACTCAGAGGGTGAAGAAGAAGACCAGCGCCACAGTATCTGATGATGACGAAGTGTCGAAAGACTTCCCGGGTGGAAGTCTGCAGCAGCGCCACCACTCCTGACAAGATGACCCTGAGGAAGAAGCTGCAGCTATGGCTGCAGCGCCACAACCCTGGGACCCCACTTCGGAGGAGGGTCCAGCAGGGCACCAACTTCTCTTGCCTCCAGCAGACCTCGAATAACCCAGACCTCTGACAGCCCCGCGTGCTGACAGAGTACAGCGCAGGTCCCAGCTATGGCCGGCGCTCCGAAGGTCTGGCTATGTCTGTTTCCCACAACGCTGAGCCGTCACCACTTCCGGTTCACGCGTAGCGCAGCAGCGATGTACCCGGTACCAACTCCCAAAAGCCCTGAACCGATGTGCCTAACCTATCTATAGACTACTCTCGCTTAGACTCGACCTAGACCGGACTGACTGACCGACCGGTACTGATTCTCTTTCGGCCTCTAGGGCCTCTCCCAACCCGGCTATAGGCTATAGGACCGTCTATCAGCTTAGGCCCATGGGGCCTGTCTGTCCTAGTGGTAGCCCGGGTCTGCTATTCGCAGTTAGGGTAGCTGTAGGAAATTCAGTTAGTTCGAGCCTGTATTTGCCCGAATTTACAGATATGCCCCTCACGAATTTTCCCTACAGGCAGGTCACTCGGTTAGCCCTCAGCCAAACAAAATTACGAATCTGTCCTACCTATGGTACAGCCTCGACAGAGAGAGGCTACAGGCGACCAGAAAACAGCAGGTCATTGCACAGAGAGAGAGAGAGAGAGAGAGAGAGAGAGAGAGAGAGAGAGAGAGAGAGAGAGAGAGTCCGTGTCGGTACTTGTGTTGGGGGGCACCACTCCCTGGGTTTTGATATCTAAGATACATTGGCGTCGTTTTGTGAAGAGCAGGTGATCAGGAGTTCGATTAGAGTGGTGGAGTGGAGAGACCGATAGAAATTGATGTGGTTCCCTGTGTGTGATTGGATGTTGATCTTATTTTTATATATATATATTTTTTAACAAACCAGTGTCCTTGCTAGGAGAGGTGGTACGAGCACTTGTGAAAGTCACGGCCTTCATAACAGCGGTGGCCTGCATGACATATGTCGCAAACATCATTTGCGCTGAAGTGTGCGAGTCATTCCGGATGTCTAATGCGTGCTGTGCCGCCATATATCTCCCTGAGGGGTCCAATGCGTTTTCTCAAATGCTGTGTCAGCCTGTCAGGCCAATTTCTGGACTGTTCTCACGGTCGATCCTAAGGAAGCAGGTCTGCACCAAGCACCTGACACAAATGCATTCTCTTTTCCCATCTCTTTGTGTGACGAATGTGTACTCATGGGGCCCTAGACAACATGCATATGTTCTGGACTGTGGCCCCCAGCAAGCCTTGTGCCCGCCCTAAGTGAAGGCGCGCCTGAAGATCCACGAGAGGCCCTTATCTCGGCATTTTCCAATGTGGTTCTTAGACAGTTGCTGCACGCCAGTTGGTCGAAGTGCAACCTAGGCTTCACCCTGGGCTCTTCCAGAAGAAGCAGCTGCGTCAGGCAGTTGAGCCCAGGACGCAGGTGGTTGTGCCCTGGGCACACGCAGTGTGAGGCCGACATATCACGAAGTGGCCACGGGCCAATGAGAATGCAGCATTGTCGTCACATCTACTCCGCGGGCCAATGCAAACACAGCAAAAGTTCGGAGCCTGGATAATCCTGGGTGTGCCCAACTGAAAAGGGCCCAGGCCCTCAGCTGTAGACATGGGCCTGGGCGCAGACACTGGGGCCTGATCGGAAACTTCCACGGCCGGGCCCAGACAGTCCAGCAGCAGCAGTGACTCCCATATAGGGAGGAGGGCGGCCAGTCTTGGGTATTCTGGCCTAGGTAGGCAATGTGGACACGCAGCTGCGATTCAGCGCAAGTGTCTGCATTGCGCTAGCGCTGGCTGGGGCGCACGCGGGCGCTAAGTGGTGTGGGGCGCTGCAGGGCAGCGGGGCGCCAGGCGGCCCTAGCCGGGCTGCAGGGGCACAGGCAGGTGGAGGCAACGCTGGTCTTCAGGAAGGAGGCGCAGGTGTGGGTGGACAAGGGGTGTGGGAGGTCGGCATTGGTGTTGACGTCATGTACATTGGTCTTTGTTGTCGAAGTGAGCCTGTTGCATGAACGTCGCTAGGCTAGGTAGGATGAGTAGAGTAGGCTGGGCGCTGGGCGCCAGACAGTAGGAGCGAGTGCGTTGGTGTGGCCTGAGGTCTTGGACATTGGCTCACGATTTCACTGTATCGCTCTTATTTGGATGGAATCTTGGTGCATTTGAGCTCTCTGCTTTTTACATGACTATCTGGACTTCTGCTTGATTTTGCAACTTGGTTTCTGTTTAATGAACTTTAATAGCTCTCGCTCATAATCCTTGCATTAATTTCTTACCCCATCATCACTTCCCTCTCCCATTTTTCATCTCCTTGTTTCTCTACTTTTGTGTACAGTACCAGGAACACCAACCATCCTGTACCTCTCCCTAACCCATCTTCGTCTCAACTCCCGCATCACTTGTGCCACTCCCATTTCTTCATCTCTTCATTTGTCTACTTTTGTCTACACTACCAGACGAAAACAGGAAAGATCTGTTAAAAATGGAACGACACAGAGAAGATTAGCATGGCCCCTGCGCAAGTATGACACGCATAAATCAAGAAATGTTCCAAATTTATCTGGAAAAAAAAAAAAAACAGGGGCGCCCGGGTCCCGACGTCTCACCCGGTTTGGCGACCGGGTGACCGGCCGGGTATGACCCCCAGGCATAGGCCCGGGCAGCCCCAGCGCGAAAAAAAAAGAAAAAAAAAATGTTGTGTAGAATTGCAATACAAACAACTTTTGGCTGAGGGTCACATAAGAATTCCTCACAGAACTGAAGATATCCAAATCACACTAAGGCACCCCCCTTTAAACCCCTTTAGCCCCTTTAAAGTTTAAAATTCATTTATACTCCCCTTCACCCCCCTTGACAGCCAACATTCAAAAAAAGAAAAGAGCCTGGATTTGGGCTACCCCACCGCCATTTTTATTTTTTTTATTTTTTTCTCATGCCCGGGTATCCTGGGCGTCAGACCCCCGGGGCGTCACGCCCAGGTGACCGGCTGGTCCAGACCGGCCGGTCATGAAAATCTTCCTAGGTTAACATTGCAATGTTGTACATTTTATTCCCCCTTCGGAGTTTTTTTTAATTCCTTCTTTTTTCAGAAATGACCACGATACAGAGAAGATTAGCATGACCCCTGCACAAGGATGACACACAGAAAAAAAAAAAGAAACGACCACCCTGCCTGCCTTGGATTTTGCAATGGGACGCATGGATCCATCCAGCCAGATCCTGTCCAGGATTAATCAGTTAAACAATGTGGATGCACCCCGGGGGGGGGGGGAGGGGAGGTGGAAATGATATCCAGGCAGGCTGCCTTGCTCTTTGATGCAAAAGGCATTGTGTCCTGTGGATGGCACATGGATGAACGGGTCGTTTGGTACTCGTGCTGTATGTTTTCTGTTCCTTCTTTTGCTTATGACTTGCTGTGGCTTGCTGCTTTCACATGGAATGGCGTCATTTCATCTTGTCGCGCTCAGCCGGAAGTCACGATTGATAAAGACTCTTCCGACGAAATCAACCCCAGTTTATGCCTTAAGGGTATGCGCTTCTCAATCTCAAGTTCCAAACCCTATATTCCAACACTGCACGCTGTTCAGACTCTACTCGTGCCGTATGTTTTCTCTTTCCTTCTTTTGCTTATGACTTGCTGTGACTTGCTGCTTTCTCATGGAATGGCGTCATTTCATCTTGTTGCGCTCAGCCGGGAGTCACGATTGATAAAGACTCTTCCGACGAAATCAACCCCTGTTTATGCCTTAAGGGTATGCGCTTGTCAATCTCACGTTCCAAACCCTATATTCCAACACTGCAAGCTGTTTAGACTCTAACATTCCTGGTCTTCTTCTCTCGCCAAGGTCACTACTGCTGGTATATGGCGTTAAGCAGTGTGAATGGGTTCATCCCAGCTAAGGACAGCCATAGCGCCTAGGTTGCCTGGCCCGTTGTCTCTGGGTATTTACTCTCTATACATTCTGAATGGAAGGTATTATCTTGACCTAAGATCAAATTAAAACCTTGAAGCCTTTGTAATTGCGTTCTCACCAACCGGGTTACTGTTTGGTATTGCTGCCATTGCGAGCTTGATTGTGTTGTTTCCTTTTTTGCGATACGGGTATGTTTTCAGCCAAATGCAGCTAAGCTTCACCGCTCTGCCCCGCATCAGTCCGCTATCAAGCTAATCGCAGGTTAACTATTTTTTTGAGCATCGAGCGCCTTCAATTGTAATCACAGCTTCAGTACTGTAGTATTATGCAGGCAGCCATCTGTGTTAGCTGACAGGATGTAGGACCTCAATTCCCTTTTCCCCTGCATTTTTCTTACTGCATCTCTCTCTCTCTCTCTCTCTCTCTCTCTCTCTCTCTCTCTCTCTCTCTCTCTCTCTCTCT